TAGTGCTGATACTCAGAGTGATAAGCTATCTATCAGTTATAACTAATACAAGTAGTAATAAATACCACCTGAAAAAACTTTATATTTTTTTAATGTTGATCAATTTTCACATTCATTATTGATATTAAAAGTGATACAAAGAATATTTATCATTAATTAATGTAATTTTATACTGAAATAATTCACACATGGAAAATATAGTTTTTAATGATATGAGTATAATTTAAACCTGAACAATATAAGCAATAAATTAGATTGTGTAAGGCATAGCTACAAAGAGTCGCAGGTCCAGCCAACTTGCCATAAGAGGCTGCTATACAACCTCTAATCTTTGTAAATAGTTGTAATGGGAATTAATTAGGTAATTATTTTCACATGGGTGCGGTTAAGCTTTGTTTAAATATAAAGGGTGTGCATGGGTGGTGCTACTATTTTGTTCTATTAATGAAAAAAGGCATGCATTAAAGCATTCTGTGCTTCTCTTTTCTTGGCTATTGTGTGTTTCTGTGTGTGCAGGCTCTCGGGAAGATCCTACAAAGGGTAGGTTTTGTGACACAGATCAAAAGGCTTTACGTGATGATAAACTGTCATTTGTATCTGGGATGATCTTTTTCAGACCTGCTGTTCTGAATTGAATGAGTCATGTTTGACATGTTATCTTTGGTTGTGGGTCCATAACTACATTTCTTTGATTTTTAGTTTGATTGTTTTTCCAGGTACAGTATATAGAACAGTAGACCTGACTTTCTCTAGTTGTGTAAAAGTGTGTGCAGATCAAAAGTTGTGAGCAGTGCACACACAGCTGCTTCCGTTGTGAGAATCTGAGTTCTTGCTTTTTCCACATCCCTAACTGCACACATGCATCTTAATACTTCGTGATCAACTGGTGAAGGTTAGAACCTGTTTAACTATAGATGAATTGAGTGTTTACATCTGTTAATTGATGTGAAGCTGCTTCCTTGTGCAAAACGACATTGGCAGTTAAAACAAAGCATAAAGTCATGAACAGGGAAGCAGAAATGTTCAAAAAGACAAAAAATATTGGAGGTATTGAGTCCTATTGTGATGTTTTTGAATCTGGTTTATAATTTAAAAACAGTTCAAATTCCACAATGCCAAAATATGCTTCAAAATACAAATCATAAATGTATTCTCTTCTCTTAAAGCAACATGGTCACAAGAAAAAGATTGATATAAAATGCTTTTTAAAGCTTTTTTACTTTTTAAAGATTTTTGGGTTTTCCATTTTTTTTACTTTTGAATTTCAAAGTTTTATACGACTGTGTGAATAATTCATTGATGATAGGGAAAATAGTTTTTTGTGAGGAATACCCCAAACCAATTTTCACATCTGAACAATGAACCAGCTTAGTGTAGGAATGCCCTTGCCCTTGTGCAGAGGAGACAACTGGCCCATGAATTTTGTTGACATCACTGTCTTGATAATGCAAAGGAATAGTGAAATACAAATTTAATATTGTTTGGGAGTGTCATAAAATGAAATAAAAAACATTTAAATTAGGCCTTATATGGTCTATCCCATTTACCTTAGGTCTTTGTGGCTAGGTAGAATTTGGTTATGGTCTCTCTTGTGTAAAACATGAAATGCTTTGGGTGTCTCTTTCTTTTTACTTAAAATAGTCACCTGTTTACAAGCCAGAAAGGTAAATTTGTGTTGAAATATTTCATATCTTGATTTAAGTGCAATTTGTTAAACATCCCTCTATTTTTATTTTGATATTATGCACTTCAAACAAAATAAGACATTTCTACTAGACATTGCTGTACTTGTGTATGCTGTACAGTACATTTTATTTTTTTCCCACTTATGTGCATATTTAAAATATATATATGTTTATTTCATCTAATGCTATGTGATTGTAATACAGTATGTGCATCTGATACCCTCAGAGTTGTTAATTGAATTCATATACATATAATTTGCTTAGCAGAATGCCTGAAAAAGGTACTCTATGAATTGGCTACATTACTCTGCTCTCCTCTCCACTGATAGCTGATGTGTGGGGAGCGTTCTGGCGCACTATGGCTGCAGTTGCATCATCCAGGTGGATGCTGCACGTTGGTGGTGGTGGAGGGGAGTCCCCATTACCTGTAAAGCGCTTTGAGTGGAGTGTCCAGAAAAGCGCTATATAAGTGTAAGCAATTATTATTAGTATTATTATTATTATTATTTTTATTATTATTACTCATCAGAAGTGCAGGCCCAAAGGTTTATGGCTACATACCAAAAAAGCACTTTAGTCTGCCATGGAGCGTTATATTTACAGTATATATATATTATGCTACTAAGGCTGCTCTTTCCATCACTTTGCAATTCATATTTGTTAAGAAAAATACATAGCATTATCTACAGTGCTTTAGGCCCTCTGTGCATTTATAGCATGGCAGTACGATCTTGTTCAGCTATAGTTTTATTGCTCTAAAGGAGACAAAGAAATTTGTTACTTAAGTGTGGTTAGTGATTTATTTAACACGTTGCTCTAATTTCTTGTTTTATCCAGAATGCTCTATAACCATTTCCTGAAGTTTATATAGTGCAATTTTTTTCCATTTGCAAATAGTGCAGCCCTTTATGGTATATGGTAATAACTCATCTATATTAATTATTCAGGGTTGGGGTTTCATTTTCAGTTTTATTCCGGGTTGGTCAACAATTTGTTGTTGTCATAAATGAAAATCCGAGGCAATGAAATGTTGATAGTGTTACAAAGCAAAATTCAAATGCTCTAGATGAGATGTGATAGTGTTTTTTTGAGAACTGGCCAAGATTCATCTGGAAAACATTGCAACATTTTTTTTTCCTTAAATAGTTTTGCCTAAGGGGTTCTCTTACCGTGACTAAAAATAGACTTATTTGAAATTATTTTAATAATATTGTTGACTGAATGAAAACTGAAATAATTTTCTGTTAAAAAATACAACAATCTTGAGCAACTTACTTTAATTATTTCATGTAGTAATTACTAAAGCAGTGATATTCAAATTCAGTACCAAATATTTCATAAGGATATTCTTTAATTGAGCAGTGGTCTATTTAAATATATATATATAATATTTCTATTTATATGTATCTGGTCCATCAGCAAAGGTATACAGTATCTGCCAAGAACTGGTTTTGTCTTAAATTTTTAAAGGCCAGTCATGTTTTTGTTGAATGTGTTTATTTTCTATTGATGAAACTGGAGAGTGCCTATGATGCTAATTACAGTATCTAGGCAAGAACTTTTGTGGAAGCAACTAGATTAAATCACATAACAGTGTTTTCCAAAAGCTTCACATTGCTTTGCATTTTCTATAAACTCAATCTCTTACTGTTCTAAAATTAAATGTAGTTTTCCTTTCGAAATCTAATACTTATGTCCTAACATGGTCCTTAGGCCTGTAAAATCAAAAAGTATAGCTGGTTCTGGATAACACTTCCCAATTTCCAATGAACATGTCTGGCATAGGCTTCAAATGCGTTCAAAGCTGTTTAAAAGTTGGATTGTTCGTATCTGGGTGCCCCCTTGGTGACGTCTGTTTTTTTTTTAATCAATTTCCCTAAGGGATTAATAAAGTATTATCTATCTACGTATCTATCTACTTGGTATGTCGGTAAACTGTTTCATGTGTTCTACTTATATATTATTGCATAACTATCTTATTCTTCTAAACATTCTAATGAATAAACTTTGTAATCTTAGCTGTGTTTGATTGTTATAAATTGATTTAAGAAAGAACAGGTTTACTTTCTATTTAAGGTTAATAACTAAAATTAATAACTAAACAGTAGAAAAATACATATTTTTAATTAGTTTGTGTCTAAATTATTTGACAAAAAAAATCAAGAGGTAGTTTGTCAAAATGATTGTAGGGCTCACTTAAAATTGACCCAAGAAATGAAGGAAAACCCGTTATTGTTTTAATCACAGCTCTACTGTTTCTTGCATAAAATATTGTTCAATTTCCTAAACTCATTTCATTTGTGCTAACGCTTTGTAATCTTTGACAGTTTAAGTGTTTTTTAGTCCAAAATCTCATTATTCAATGTGTTTATTCTGTGATTTGTTCTCTTATACCTGTCAAGCCACAAATGTTCTTAAATTCTATTAGAAATGCAATTAATCTGTATTATTGTAGTCCAGGAAAGGAAAGAATACATTGTTATTGAACAGTTTATCTACTTGTGCTCCAGAACAGTAACACTGGGTATGTGCCGCAGAATGTAAAATGTCTTTTTTTCAGGTCATATACATTAAACTACAACGTATATTGTTTTAGCATAAGCACGTGTGATTAATCTTGTGATAAAAGTTTCTGGCAGCACATACATTATAAATTGATATTTACAGTATAGGTAAGATATGTCACATCTGGGGGGCTTCAACAAAAAAGATTGAATAAATTAATAAGTTAATTTAATCATAATTAATAATTGAGTTTTAATACAGTCAGAGGTCCATTAATTTAAAGCTGAATATTGGGATGCAATTCACTGAACACATTCTAAGTACACTTATTATACATAATTTAGGAATTCAATACAGATTTGGGATTGCTTTTTACAGACTAGAATCTTGAAGTACACTTTAGTGAAAACATTGACTGTCAGTTAAAATACAGTATGTACAGTACTGTATGATCTGTAATAAAAATATAATATTGCAATATTATATTGAGACCTAACAAAATGGGAGTGTATGACTTGAGCCTTGTGCTCCATAATGTGTGATAATGATTGAATTAGAAGAACCAAAAAATCATAAATCCACCCTTTCCTATGTGTAGACCATTTTACCACATAGCATTCAATACACTGTTTTGAACTTTATTTGATACACATGGGGAAAAGACCCAATTTCTACAATCTCAGTTATAACAAACTTTACTATATCCGAGATCAATGTTTTATTAAAGCTTTGCAGGTGGAAAATTCATTATTTTACTGCTTACAATTCCAAGGTTTTGTATGTACAATTTTGTCATTGTTTTCTTTTCAGGTCTCCTTCTTCTTGTTTATTATATTTGTGGTGTACACCATGCTACCCTTCTCTATGCGGGATGCTGTAATTGCCAGTGTGCTGACCTCCTCCTCCCACACCATTGTACTAAGTATCTGCCTGTCAACAACCTCTGTTCTGATGGAACACTTGGTATGGCAGGTTAGTGCCCATTAAAGCTTTTTTGCTCTATGACTATGAATTCTGACAATGACTGTAGCAAAAGCATAGGCAGATCTGACATTTAATGATTGAGAAGTGAGAAAGATGCATTTGAGAGGTTCTCAATCAAGTTGTTCCAACAAGTATCTCTTTGTACAAACAAAAAGTATTTGAATAATGCTTTCGTTGTGTAATTCATGATAAGGAAGTGTTAAACATATTTTGTACTTCATAAAAAATATTATGGGTTCTAAAATGCTGGTGACCTTAGATAAAGTTATTGAGTCAAGGATCAATGATCAATTTACTATTTTTGCAAGCCTTGAACTACATTTCTTTGAATGCTATTTATTATATTCTTTGGATAATGCACATACCAACCTAATACCTTTTAATGGCACATTCAGACATTTTCTAATATGTGAATGTAAGACCATACAGGGGATTTTAATTTATTCGAATTCTATAAATAAGACACATGGATACACTGTACAGGAATTTCAAATTGTGGATGATCTACAGTAGATGCTTTATGTGAAAAGAGATCAGGGATTGACATGTGATTTAATAAGGTATTATAGGATGATTATGAGTTCAATAATAAATACAAATATATTTTCCTTTTTTGATTTAAAAATATAAAACGCATGACACCCTGAAATAGGGATATTTCTTTTTCAAAACCCAATACAGCATTGCTTACAGGTCACTTCTGTGGATGTGAATAATAGGGAAACTAAAGAGTAACTTTAGTATAATGTGATATTAACCGGATTTTGATCTCATTGCTTCTGGCTTTGGTATTTGTTTGAAACATTGGTGAGAGTTTGTTTATATTGAAAATAGACCGAAGTCTCCCCTTTTCCAATAGAACATCTGATTTTATCATTGTATTAAATTTTTGTAGGTTGGAAGGTGGAGAATGGAGCCAAATACAGGAAATATTGGTACTATTTTATATGAGTCAGAAATGTCAAGTTCTTGCAATTATCTTGAGAATGTGATAAGGTGCAGCTATGATGTGTGTACATACTGTAGCTCATTAGACCTGGAAAAGGAGTATGGATAACCCAAATCATTAAAAACTTACAAAAAAGTCATGTTTTGTGGATAGTAGCATATTTTAAAATCATAGAACCATATATTTCCATTACTTTAGCAGTAAATATCACATTGTTTACATAACCTCCTGGATCTTCTTGGCAATATCCTCTGAAACCTTAGCTTTAAGCGAGCAGGTGATCTATTGCTTGTTAAATTATATTTCATTATAACCCATTACTGAGTTAAACTGAGTTGTCTTCTGAAGCAATTAATAAGAAATTGTTCATAATTATGAATAATGAATAATCTATGTAGTGGTTGAAATTACAGTGACGTGACACACTTCTGTATAGATTTTAAAACAGCTGGTTAATTCCAGATTGTTTAACACTCCCTTGCACATGTAGTAGTGTTGCAGTTAGGGCATGAGTCCTCTGAGGTTTTATTAAATAAATAAACTGCAATTATGTACCTGAGCTCTGTAAATGCAAATAAGGAGCATAAAAACACAGCTTCTCCAAGGCGATAAGCCTTACAGTTTTATTTTTGTCTTATTAAATCAGTTCATTCGTAAGCAACAAAAACAAGCATTATGATTGATGTTTGAGATGTTAAAATTTAGTTGTAGAAATAAAGCAAAAGAGGTTGTGTGACAATGAAAAAGTTACATAGAAATATATATTTCATAATTCAGAATTTACAGATCCTATATTTAAAACTTGCAACAACCACTGTTTTTGCTCAATACTTTCAAATTTTGAATTTGTAATTCAAAATAAACTATTTTTTTCATGGAAAATCTGCTCAATTCAAGCTACAGGTTACATTAAGTTGTGCTTTACACAGGTCCAATTGAAGCTCCTATTCAGTTGGAAGAGGTTGGAAATAAAATGCTTTGACTGCAACTTGATTGCTTGCTTACTGTATTTTAAGAATTATTCTTTCAATCACTACCTGTAAGGTAGTGGATCAAAATACTGAACAATGTATGATAAAAATTGATTTGTATAAAATGTAAGCATCAGAGGTCTGAATATATCACAAATTAAGAACATGTTTAAATATCTAATTTCCATTCCACACCCCTTCCTTCACTATTTAAACCCTCCGTTCACTCGAGTCTGCTCAGGAGTTATAAATGAATAACCCTGAGTAAACTACTAGTTTTTTTAAGGCTCCAAAACTGATGATTGTTTAATCTGGAGATGGGTAAGGTTGGTGTTTTGTGGATATATTTCTGGTCTTACAGATGCCCTGAACTAGGTAAAAACATGGGATATATAACTTTTTGCCGGCGTTGGCTTTTGCTGTCATGTTTTCCAGGGTTATTGATTGATTGATTGCCTTGGTGTATTTTGGTTCTGTAAACGGGTTTGTGAAGCTCCGGTTGTCTACTTTCGATTGATAAAAGTATCTCATAAAACATTTAGAGACATCACAATAATCTCTTTATTGTGATAAAATATTGCTGAACACGTTCTTTGAATGATTACCTGACTAGCTATTGTTTGACTTTCTTCACAGCAGACCTTTTAGTTGTGGGCATCCCTTAATTCAGGCAGATAATTAAGGAACCGGTTGGAAGCCTCTACAGCTTGTGGAGAGGACAGGTGCAGAAGCCACACGAATAATGGGCAGCTTCAGACACTGCACACATTTACTAGAGATTGTTTGCAGTGAACTTGGATCATAGAAGTGTCTGATTTATTTTATACCTTGAATGCTTTGAGAGAGAACTGTTTCAAAATAAAAGTACCAGTCTATATGTCATCATAATTTATAGTCTAACCTGTAATTTAGGTAACTAGGTCTGCAAAATTAAAAGTGAATTTTTTGTGAAAATTGACGTATTTAATCGCTTTGGTAAATTATTACAGAAATGGTGATATTAGTTCAATATTTATGCAGATGTTTCAATGGAGTATTTCGCCATCATTTTAGAAGGGATAATTAGATAAAGTATGTTTTGTATTTTTTTTAACCAATTAATTTTGTTGGTGAACTTTTGTAGATGTGTAATGTTTTGTGGCACAATTTTCCACATTTCCACTTCAACTAGGCCTGAGAACAGTACTTTAATAAAAAAGGGAATTGAACATTATGTACAGTTTATTTATTTTTGTACAAAGCTGTCAGTCCATTTTATTTTTCAATGAAATCAGAAACAGAGCCTAGTAAAAGTAAACATACTGCTTTGCAGACATTTTCTATAGGAAAGTGAGTCAATCAAGTAGTGAAGTTAAAACAAAACTATTGTGAACCTTTAAATTTAGAGTATGTAAACCTTCCATATTTTCAATAAAACATTAGGATTTTTGCAGTGTTAACATGAAAGGTAACAATATCTGCATTACTTCTGTATTGTTAAGATTTTTCAGAATTTCCAGAAAATGCAGAATTTCAGATAATGGACTATTATTTTTCTTTTATTCATTGCTATTTTACCATTTTATGCCATTGCCACCAGCTATATCATCCTGAAACTCACAACTGACAACCCACTGAAGCTCAGCAGGTGTGATCTTGGCCAGTACCTGGATGAGAGACCTCCTGGGAAAGTTAGTCACTACTGGAAGAGGTGTTAGTGGCATCAGTAGGGGGTGCTGCAGTCTGTGTGGATCCTAATGTTGTCCTAAACTGTAATTAAAAATTTCCTCCTGGCCTTTACCAGTCATGACATTCTAATAATCCCCATCTCTTTATCGCTCTGATCTCCTCCCTATTGAAATCTGATGTGTAGTGAATGTACTTGTGCACTATGGCTGCCATCGCATCATCCAGATAGTGGTGGAGGGGATCCCCATTACCTGATTACCCTTGAAAAGCACTTTGAGTGGAGTGTCCAGAAAAGCATTATGTAAGTGTAGATTATTAGTAATAGTATGCAATCCTATCTTATTTTATTAGTACTGTAATCTATAATATTGTTAAAAATCTCACTCCCATAATATAATTGATAGTCAAGTTACAGTTTGAATGACTAGACAAATATTTGCTTTTGTTAACTATGAACACATCTCATTTTCTGACTATCCAAAGTGCATGAATCCCGTTCGTAAAACCTGTTTTTAATGTATATCAGTAGACATTTATTCTGAGTGGTCATAAATCGGTAAACTATGTTAAATCAATGAAAAATACCAACAAGTAATTTCTCCTCCTTAACTGTAACGTTATACTCCTCTTCACTGATATGAATCATGCTGTAATCACACAGTCACCGTGTCCACTCAGCTACAATAAACATGTCCAGGCATTGTAGCAATGCCTGGATTTTTTATTTAAACCAAGGGTAATTTGATTTGATATTTTGGATCATGCTTATAATCTTGTTTTCTAGCTCTCTAAATCTAATCAACTTCAGTAAATTGCATATGTTAACAAAAAGCCAGACCTTTAGGATTACAGTGTCTGACAATATTGGTATAGTGAAAAGGAACTTTCAACCTTGCTTGTTAGTAAAAATACAAGTAATGTAATGCATACAGATTAGAAATCCAGCCTGTTGGGGAAAAAAAAAGATTGTTTCATTATGTACCATGTGTTATTTTATTTTACAGCAGTATTCTAATGAATGTGTGTTATGATTATTTTCTTTCTGAATCAAATGCAATCTTGTTATTCATTTTTAGTTGATGTCAATGAGTGAAAGTACCAGGGCAGCACAGTGGTGTAGTGGTTAGCATTGCAGCCTTAAAGGGTGGGGCCCTGGATTCAACTCTGAACCTGGGGTGCTGTATGCATGGAGTTGTATCTTCTCCCCATGTTTGTACGGCTTTTCACCAGGTGCTCTGGTTTCCTTGCACAGTCCACTGGTGGGTTAATTGGCTTCTTGGTGAAAGTGGCCCTGGTATGAGTGTGTGTATGTGTCCGCATGCCCTGCAATCAACTGGGGTCCTGTTCAGGGTGTACCATGCTTGCACCCAGTTGATTGCCGGGATAGGTTCCAGCTCCCTTGCAACCCTGAATTGGATGAAGATGTTAGAAAATGAATGGATGGATGAACTGAAAGCACCTGATAGAGCCAGACCTTTCTTGTTGTACGATGAAAATATATTTTTGGATACAAGGAGGTTTGTTTGTATTTAAGTGTGAGATTTTCTATATTTACTGTAGTGAACTTTCATCTGAGTATTTCAAAATAAAATTTAATCAATTTGCTATTCGCACTATTTATGGTAGAAATAGTTGCTTTTACTTTTCCCTTTAAAACAACACAGTCCGACATAGTCCATATTGGCTCGTCTTTGAGTTTTTGTTCAAGATATTGTACTGTAATTTTATTTAAAATAAATTATATATTTGTGGACTATTCAGTGTGTTAAGCAGAGCAATATTGTGAAGCCTATTAGATCATTATAATTTAGATTAATATAGGACTATAAAGCAAGGGTTGCCTCTTGTGTCCTGTAATCAGAATTTAGTTTGTTAGAAATCCATTAATTACTTTTCTATTTAATCGGTGTTTCTGTATACACAGGCTTTAAAGTGAATATTTTTAAAAATTTCTTACAAATCACTGAGCAACACCCCATTAATTAATTCATTTGGAATTTGATTTACAGAACCATCTATAGTCTTGCCTTAGTATTGTTTATGATTTAAAATGAAAAACATTAGTAAAGCCAGGGTAGTATGATGTTTTTTACTGTAGTTCTATTAACATTACAACAGCAAATACATTTTCCTAATTTAAACTATTTACAGTACAGCAAAAGATATTCAAATCTTGAGGGACTGTCAGAGATCCCTTACCTGATTCTCACATTTTCATTTTCTTAAAGCAAAAAAGAATGTATCAAAATATTATTTATAATGTTATTGTTCATTATAATACAAATTTAAAACAAAAAATAACATGCTGCTTTAATGCATGTTTATGTAATTTCAAAAAGGCAAAACAATCCTTGTGAGCAATTTGTTAATGACTGTTAAACATTTAAAAGTCACATGCAACATTATCAAAGGTTAACGTTATAACATTTCTGCTGAAGTCATTGGCTGTTTTTAGGTAAGGCCTTAGCTTGAAGCCTTGCACAGTTTCCATGACATCCGTGGACTAATTCTTCATCCATCACATATAATAGAATGACCAGAACATTTGAGTAGATAAATATCCCATTCACCTAAGCAGGTTAAAGCAATTTGATGGATTACTGTAGTCTGAAAACAATAGATAATATAATCAGTAGCTCAGCTTTATCCCTCTTAGCGACCAAAATGTGTGTCATGTAACAGCTTCTAGAAGCGCAATGGATGAGACATTACAGAGTTGCCTTTGGCTCCCCAGACTCTGAAGTGCTTTGGAGAGAAGCATTAAATGTCTACTGTATTTAATTAGTGGATCAGCATTTGAGTCCATTCCAGGAACAGAGGCTGAAATTATTTTTTATCTTTCCATGAAATCAGGCTCAGCTTAAGCAAGAAGTGCCACATGTTCCAGGATTAAATACTTTATTGTTGACATATTCTAGCTAAAGGTGTTGATTATAATGTCAACATTAGGAATTTTGCTTTGTGCAAGATTGAAAGTCCGAGGGTCAGAGGTATTCACCAGCCAACTTGGCATGAGCGGAACATGGTTACATGTTTTTAAATCATATGTTCTCCATTCTTTACATTGTGCATGCTTGGCTTAAAGATTAGTTAAAAATTTCTTTAAATCTCGGCACATACTGTATGAATCTGTACTATGTAAATGCACATTCTAATGTACTTGTGAAGCATTTTGAGCACCCATGTTGTACAGCCTTAACAGAAATGTAACAATACCCTAACTGCACATTTTTAAATGTCAGTGACATCGTACTCTGTAAAATGTGGTTACAAAATTCTATTTGTTCTGAATTTATCATGAATTGAAGTACTAATGGGTAGTTTGCAAAACATTTATAAAAAAAAACAATAATTATCATATAAATTATATACCACTGTTGTTTTGTTAAGCTGTCTGAATTATATTTAACAACACTTCTTTGTAATGTGTTAAATGAAAATGTGAAGTCTAAGGGCCAGTTGAAGGACAGGAAAAAAGCTGAATTAACACCACCCTGTCATTCAGCTACAGTATGTGGTCGGCAGCAGATGTTTCTGCTTTGTGGAGAAGGTGAGATTTCTGCTGTAGATAGCATGTCAAACCCAGCTCAGACTAATTCAGGTAAAGCCCAATTTACCCTGGTGACATGGCAGAAGTCAGTGACTGTCTAGATCTCAACTGGACTTCTGCATGTTGAAATACTCACCATTAATGCATAAACCTGCTCTCTTTTATTTATCAAGTTTTAGCAAATTAACTTCTTAACTGGAAAAAATAATACTTCCAGCAGAATCACAGCCTCCTGTGTTTCTTTTACATATCTCTAAGAATAATCATATGTACTTTTTAAAGTTGTTAAGAGTGGACTCTGAAGAGAAGAGAATTTTAGTTTGCCAATGACCCAATAGTGGATATGACCTCAGATCCAATGAATACATTAACATGCATTATTTATTTAAAAATCTTCTTGTAGAAGATGTAGCTTTAGAAAGTTATAGTTCATTCAGTAGGTTTAAACTAATATAACCTTGTCCATAACATTAATAAGAGCCACAAGTAAGAGAGAACAGATTACAGTCACTCAGCAAGTCATGGGTGAACAAACCAAATGCACTGTTATTAATAGATAAGTGCAAAATTAATTATATCCTTAATTTCTTTTTCAATTAAATCCTACTAGAACCGAGAAGAAAATATATGTAAATCCTTCTAGTTCAGTACTTTAATGGTTCTTTGAACATCAATCACAGTGTGCACTAATCAATTTAAGAGTCAGGACGTTATGGGTAGGCAAGCTGACATTTCTCTTGTTCAATCAATTAAACTTTACTTTTTCAGTACATGTAAAATTGAGCATCATTGAAGAACTGGCACATTTATTGACTGAACGAGTCCTTGCATAGGAAGTTACAAAGATGTCTAATGTGTATCTTTAAACTAATTTATAATTTTGACCTTAACAAGATGGCAAAGATTTGGCATTTATATTGCCATAAGTCAAAAGACATTTGAATTTGCTGCTGTGTTACAGTACATGAATATGTAAAAAATCTTTTTAACACAAGTAATATTGTAACTTTTGTATTGCAGAATACATTACTGATAAATTTAACGTTCCTTTTTCATAGAACAAAAATGTGATTTCCAATTCTAAACTATTTTACATAGTTAATATCTGTTTAAGAAGGAGCAAAAAATTTTCCTTTCCAGATTTATTTTGGACGAGGCAATATTTACATAATTAAAAAATTGCTGATTCTTATATAACCTGAATAGTATCAACATCAACTTACAGTAAATAATGCTTGAAAAACAATGCCTGTTTTGCATAATGTATATATAGTATTAAGGAAGAATTAGTTCTCTTCTGAGAAAGCTACAGATTCTTAAATCAGAAGCCACATGATGATTTAACATCGTCAAAGCCTTCTTTGGTCTATATTCAAGTCTAAAGGTGTTTAACCTTTAATAGACTATTTAATATTTAATGTTTATGCTTTCAAATCACTGGGTTATTATTTGTTTGCTCTTTTTATACTTTTAAGCACAGGATTCTTAAAACATTCTTTAATAAGACCAAACACTTAGTGGCAGAATTTCAAACTGCAATGACAACAGGAAATTCCCAGCAGTATTTCAGGTACAACTAGTAGTAATTTGAAATGTGCTTTAATTGGATCTGGGCACTGCTTTTGGATCAGTTTATCAAAGTATCCTTTTCTTGGCCCCCAGTGACCTTTCAGTTGTCCCCTGCACAGTCCTGTTTTTGTCAGGTCATTGCAGTGTGTGTCAGCTGGACAGTCCCCTTCGCTTTCATCTGTTTTCTGTCCCTAGTACTTTCCATCTGTTTCCTATGGGGGCACTCATATTTCCAAGATGGCTCCAAGCAAAACTTTTAGGTTGATAAAAGTAAACTGTATTTTGACAGCAATACTGATAAATATTTATACATCTGTTCTGTCATTGTGTTAAGAAGAAATAACATGTAAAATGTATCACAGAATTTTCTGGCACTTAAATTCTTATTAGACAGGTTTGATTTTTTGGGGGGGAGGATTTTTCCACCAGGTAAACTTGATGACTGGAAACATTTAACATAATCATGAAAATGGAAACAATGGTTTGTCAAATTACTGTTTTGAGTAAGAGCAGACATGTTATGGTCCAGCAGCTCCTTCATGAAAAAGATATTATAACACATGGAATTGCTGGAGTTGATAAGCATCCAGTATTCTTTGTGTATGTTTATTTTGTACAGATAATGTTCTCTTTGTGGAAAAAGCATGCAATTGCTTGACTTCTCGGTCACGGTGGAAATTAAAATGTCCTCAAAGTAGTTCATAGAGGAAAGCAGTCATAGAGGACCACAATATATGCAAGTATGTTAAATGAATAATTCAACATAATATCTAACCAGTATTTCTTTAAACATACTTTGATTGCAAACCTTCCAACAAATAAACATGGTTTTAAAAGCTTTTGCAGAGTATATATATTCTATTCCTTACCTCTTATTTCATATATATACAATGGTTCAGAGCAGAGACACAGCTTCTTATAGTATATGTAAATTCATAAGGTTATAATTAAATATTTGGAACTTGCACTCCTCTTGTGCTAATAGGGTGTATGTTTTTCTCTTGTAATTTACAGAACGTTCTGAAAATTAATTACCCTAATTATTCACATTATATACTGTATATTCAGCTATTCATAAATTTAATTGATCTCTGTGTTAATGTTCCAATTAAGCAGTCTAAGGCTCACTTACTTGTCCAGAACATCAGCAAGGCCAGTCCTATGGCAATGAAAACACAAGTTGCTTTGTATTTCAGAGTTTCTAGATGGCTTAGATGAGAGCATCTGTAGTGACAAAACTTTCCTGAACACTATTTTGATTCTGTGCTGACTATTGTTGTAATCAATCAAAAGTCATGGAGCCACTGTATACAGAAGAAAAACCCCCCATCACTCAAAGCTGCATTACAAAGAAGAGAAAAGATTTATTAGACTAAAGTCTCACTACTTTAAACTATCCTTTAATTAACTGATTTTTATCTATGTAGCTAATCACATCAACATTTTCAGTTTTTCATGTTTTAAATATATTTTAAAAAAAGCCCACAACTGGTACTGTAAGTGGGTTTCACTACAACATAAGGTTGCCTTCAGTGTGAAAACAGCAAATTCTAAGTAGAATCATATTGAGATACTTAAACATAACCCCAATGCTTATTCCCATTTTTTAAAAGTCCTAAATATGTGTATACAAAGAAACTGTTGTATGTTAAAATTTATTATATGATGCATTGCACATAAAGTGCCTTAGATACTATAAATCAAGGCTTTTACGTTATAATGGATGTGGTAGCCAAGAATAGGTTAAGGGTGTACACTAAAAATGTGTATAAAACTTATCTTTATAAAATAAAATCCAAAGAAATGGAAATTATTTTCACCATTGAGCTTTGTTTCCATGTTCATCTCTTGGAAACTATGCAATATACAATTGCAATGCAATATAATAGTGTTTGCATTTTTCTTTACGTAACTAACCTGTCTAGAATGTCAAAACACATAACCTGAAAATCTGGGTTCATTAAATTCCAATTGTTTTCTCTTGTAAGTTATCTTTTGTTCAATATTTCTAACACAAAGAACATTTTAATCTGATAACATTGTATCCCACATATATTAAATATTGGTTATAATTATCTTATAATTCAGTACAGTCAATGTGGCATTGCAGTTTGTCAAAAGACCTGAGAAATAAAAGTAATAACCAGAGAGAAGTGGTATTATTTTCTGCTTACAGGTTTTCGTTTGTGTTATAAAACAAAAATGAAATACTGAGTCAAGGCAAATGGAGTAACTAGTAGTCTGTCATGGATGGGATTTGGCTACTTTACGAATCCTGAACGAATCAGTAGTTTTGTAGTGTGGTAATTTCATGTTGCCCCCCTAAAGTCTGCTTTCCGGCAAGCCTGGCCAGCCTGCTTCCTCTTACTGGAGAGGCGTTCCTGTCCCCCTGTTGCTCCAGGTGACTGTCTCTGCTTGTTGGCAGTGCTGTTGGTGGGGACCCAGCCTGTCATCTCTCCTGACCCTGTGTTGGTCCAAACTGCCTGCTGCACTGTGGGTGAGATGGTTCTGGAGTCACACGGGTGAGTACAACAGCAGAGTGACAACAGGGCTGTCAAAAAAATGTTCTCAGTCATACTCCTTATTGGACATTATTTTATCAGATATTTAAAAAAAAATTCTTAATTAAAAAATAACAGATGGATGTTTACGTAATCTTTTCTAAGGTGCCCCATTTTGTAAAATTGAAAAAATGATTCACGCCCATTATTAATTAATATTTTATCCATATGTTTATGTGCAAACTGAAAATTTCTAAGGATATGTAACAGTAAAAAAGAGAAAAATTCTGAAATATGGTGATTGTATAAGTATTCAGACCAATAAATCTAATATCTGGTGACAGTACCTTTGGCAGCATTTACAGTCCCAAGTGTTTTTGTGTGATTCTTTACCAACTTTGCTTGTTGGCTTCATGAAATTCTTTTCAAGGTCTGTCAGGTAGCTTGGGGATTTCTTATGGATAGTTTTCAGGTCTTTGGTGGGCAATCCAGTTCCTGGTGGGATGGTGTGTCTCTTGAAAGCAGCAGCACCTGAAGAATTGAGAGAAGTTATTACATTATTTCTATTAAACTAATAATGACCTAAATAAGATTATTAGTGGCTGAGTGGGATGTCTATCCCTGCTCTAGTATTTGACTGTACTTTGCTCCACTTAACTTTTCAGTCCTTGTTGATGAGAAGCAACCCTAAAGCTGCCAAAACCATGCTTGACAGTTATTTGCATGACACATTATTTTGCATTTTGACCAAAATGTTGACATTGATTCTTGTATGATAAGTAACACAATATGTATGTGTATAAAATACACTGTATTTTGCCACAGGTACTGCATGTTCTTGGATGTAAGCACCATGTAGAATGTGAGAGGGTTTTTGTTCAGTAATGCCTTAATTCTTGCCACTCTGCCATAGTGGCCAGCTTTAACACATTGATGTTCTCTCCCATCCAGCTTGTTTTTCAAAGTGAACAACTGATTGAAGGACCTTATAGCGGCAAATGGACAGTATTTACTCTAATATCTTGTGAACCACTTTTATTGCATACAGAGGGACTCCCCTGATTGTTTGGCTTCTTAAGATATTTATTACACCTAAATTTATTTAGCTTTGTCTTACTCAATCTTTGAATACTTTTCCATTATTCTCTCATATTTATTGCTTTAATTTTTTGAATGTGGAGAGTTGTGTGAAGAACAAATATTAATTCATTGACTGCAGCCTTTAAAGAAATTAAATGTGAAAACCATGCAAGGCATTGTATAGATTATTGTGCTTTTTAGAATGGATGTCATAAAGCCAACTGCATCGACAAATAGTGAAAACTCTTTAAAATTTAATGATTCATTAAGTTAGCAGCTATTACTTCACAAAGTTCCAAACTGAAAATGTAATTCTTGTATTTTAATGTGCTACTGTTTCTCTATAATTTTGAAATTTAAGGATACTGTACAAAGGGTGGGGGTCTCCAGTCCTTGTGTTAGTCCCAGTTCAGCAGGTTTTGTGTGTTGCCATTAAATCACCAATTTACTGTAGATCTTTTGGGACCAAAATCTGATTGAAAACTAATTTTGTAAATATATCACTTAAAATCTTTAGAAACAGAAGACTTATAAAACAAACTGTACTGGGGCTCTCCCAGACAGTCATTGATAGTCATTGATAACTGTACCTTTATATTTAAACAGTCTGGTGTGCTAGTTTTAAAGGTTACAGATAGCACTCTAGGAGATTAAATGGCCCTTGGTTACGGAGCTCAGGATCTTAATTTCACCTCCAATATATAGCTTTCACACTGATATAATGAATTAAATTGATGTTGTAAACAAATCCATGCTAATATCTGCAAGTACAGACGACTGACTCCCACTGCAGATGAAACAGAGTTAGAACGTATGAGATGCTGTCAGTTCCTTGTTACAGGACTCTTAATATCAACATCCTCAGTTGTAGTGAAGAAAAAGTTGTCTTTTTTTCAAGACCAATGTAAATTGTAATAACCTTTTTTAGGAAAATGTAAAATTACAATATGGGGAAACAGTGTGGAATAGTACTGTAGTTTACTACAGTCTAGGTCATAAGGAGAACGTTGAGTGGGTGTTGTACACTTGAGCAAGGTACTTCAGTCATATTGCTTCGGTTAAATGCCAATCTGAACATTGCATTGGATAAAAGCTTTAGCAAAATAAATTATAAAAATTAAACTGAGTGACATTCTGGTTATTTTGAATACGACAGATCTAGATTTATTAAAAGTTTAAGAATTAAAGTCAATCTTTTACTGATGTCTTCAATTGTTCATGATATACAGAGAAAACATAGAAAACATGCTGGATTGTGGGTCTTAAATACCAGGAGAGGGGTGCAAGCTGTAAAGGTATGTTATTTGTAGAACTTCAATTCTACATAGTAAATAATAAATTAACATGTTATTATGTCAAGGTTTATACAATAATAATAATAAAAAATAATTGCTTACACTTATATACGCTTTGAGTGGAGTGTCCAGAAAAGCGCTTTACAGGTAATGTAGACTCCTCTCCACCACCACCAATGTGCAGCATCCACCTGACGATGCGACAGCAGCCATAGTGCACCAGAACGCTCACCCCACATCAGCTATCAGTTGGGAGGAGAGCAAAGTAATGAAGCCAATTCATAGATGGGGATTATTAGGAGGCCATGATTGGTAAGGGCCAAGGGGAATTTGGCCAGGACGCTGGGGATACACCCCTACTCTTTTCAAGAAATGACCTGGGATTTTTAATGACCACAGAGAGTAAGGACCACAGTTTTATGTCTCATCCGAAGGACGGGGCCTGTTTACAGTATAGTGTCCCCATCGCTATACTGGGGCATTAGGACCCACATGGACTGCAGGGTGAGCGCCCCCTGCTGGCCCCACTAACACCTCTTCCAGCAGCAACCTTAGTTTTTCCCAGGAGGTCTCCCGTCCAAGCACTGACCAGGCTCACACCTGCTTAGCTTCAGTGGGTTACCAGTTGTGCGTTGCAGAGTGATATGGCTGCTGGCCATATACAGAGGGGGACTAACAAAGAAAAATGCGTTCATGTACACGTTAAAAATTTGAATTATCAGATAAGGAGAGCAAGCTGAGGTATGCGAAAAGATAATTCCTAATGCAAGAAATTGTAAGGGTTAATAAAGTGATGTTAAACATTTAAACGTTAAACATAAAATCACTTTATTGGCCATATACAATTTATTGTATTTGGAACTTGTCTTCTTGCATACCCCGACTGTCTCTCCATGAGAATCAGGGAAAGCAGCTTGGGGTCAGAACGCAGAGTCAGCCATTTATACAGCGCCCCTAAAGCAGTTGGTGTTCAGGGCCTTTGCTCAGGGGCCCAACCAAGTAGGATTCCTTTGCCAGCCGCAGGACATGAACCGTCAAGTCAACCTTCCAGCCACGGGCGCAGATCCTGAGCCACAGAGCCACCACATACCGCCCCTGTTATTGCTGTCAAACATCACTGCTTTTAAAAAAAAGGCTTTTTGGATCTTAAAAATAGTAGAACTTTAGCATGAGACCTGGAATAATTTAGGAAAGCATTCAAATGTGAGTATTGTGATTTGCAAAAAAAACAAATTTGTTCCATGCTGTGTACTCAATCCAGCGTTTGGACTACCATTATTGGATTGTTTTCCTGAAAGTGCTGGCTTGATTTATTATTTGCTCATCTGCTTTTGTGTTGTGTGCAGCAGCTGGCCTTGGGTTGGCTCTAACCGTCATCTAATTTGATTCAGGTTCCACCTGTTACAAACCCCTTTGCTGGAGTGGCAGCGGTTGACTGTTGTCTGTCAAGAGAATACTGTACATGTAATAGCATTGCATGTACTAGCTGTGCAACTTGGGATCACAAGTGTTTATTTCTTATAGATTTACAGTGTCCTCCAATTGAGATGCAAAAGTAAGAACTGTTATTTTTGTTTTACAATCAACAGTGTTTGTAAATATCATATTTATCCTTAATATTAATCTTATAAAGATGGACTTTTTCTGGAATTCCAGTCATTGGATCATATTAGGACACATATGTACTCTGTTCACCATCCAGTGATTTCACATGATCATAGGTAGTGGGACAATTTCACGTTATGTAATTTTCAGAATATAAACAATTTGGATGTACTGTATATCCATTCGAGGTAATAACCACACAACATCTGAGAACCATGGAGTTCACCAAATGCTTTGTGTGATCATTTGAGATGCTGAGCATAAGCCACTTTGAGTTCCTACTTTTTCTTGAGGTGTTCAGACTTTTTTTAGCATGTAAAATGCTTGAGATATGCTAAACCTAAAATAGTATATAAGTAAAAATTCTATAAAATGAGAATTGATTCTTGGTGATTTCAATATACAGGTACATGTGGATCCTCCTACTGATTTTCCTAATTTGGAATACTTTGATTATGATTTGGAATCCAAATCAGATGCTGCAACAGTTTTTAAATTTCACAAGTGCCTATCTAATATTAAGATGAAATGAAAATATCTTAATTGTCCTTCACTTTACAGTGGGCTTGGTAGTCACTGGAGAAGGTAGGTAAGGCCTGAGAGAGACTGGTGCATCTGCGATTAATCTGCAGGAAAGAGAAAGAAAGAAGGGGAAAAGAAAAAGGCAGTAAGGGATGAACCTTGAAAGCATGGAGCCAGTCCACTCTAGAAGGGCGGGAACATTTACACGGATTTTAATGGGAATTTAGTGCAGCGTTTTCGCCTACAACCATTGAGGGATGAATACACCCCATAACAACCATAACAAAATGTATAGTTTGAATGATGCTTAAGAGAAGATTAATTCAGGGAGATTCAAAGCAAGAAATAAAGCTTCAGTACTCTGGAACCCAAACCACCTAGCATGAGGGAAACTAAGGAACTTGAGTCACTTGAGCTGTTATTCCGCAAGACTCCTTCCATCGTGACTGCATTGTTCAAACTGTCAAATTTGGCAGTAGAAATTGTGACCTTCGGCAAAATGCCTTTTGTTAAGGGTTTGCAAGGTGTACCTCTCTGAGGGTAGAATGATACATTGTACACACAATTTTTGAAAACTGTCGACATTTTCTGGTTCACTAAAATATGCTGTAGCATTTGCAAAAAAGATTTCAGTTGGCCTCCCCCTCATATTTAATTTAATCCAACATACTATCCACATGCAAAATTTAAATATGCTTGTAAAACTAACTGTATTTCAAAATCAGATATCTGAATGAAATATTTTGAACAAAATGGGACATACCACCAAAAACAGTTACATTATACCCTGATATCAAATAAAATATTGAACCTTGCTTTTTACTTTCAATTACTTTGTTTAAATCCCCATGGGATTGCAAATTGAATACACCTGATTTGATTGATAAGAATCCAGTGGGAATGAAATGCCACAGGTGGAAAAGAACACATTTGATTGGCTCTGCGGGTAATTAGTTACTCCCC